GGGGGTGGGGGGCGCTTGCTCGAGCAGTGCCTCGTCCTCATCCTGCTTGATGCCGGCGGCCATGGGGTCTGGCCTTGTGAGATCTCCCATAAGGGAGATGTGGAGGGGGAGTGGAGAAGGGGAGGGGGAGGCGCCGGCCTCTTATAGCGTCGGGCGGCAGGAAAGGATGCAGGCGGGAGGAAATGGTGGCAGGAACGGGCGTGGCCAGCCATTAATGGGCAGTTGGGCAGACGGCGGGCAGCCATTAAGGGACCGGGAAACGCGGCTGCGACATTGGTATTGGCGCAGAAGAGAGGGGAAGAGAGAGGAAGGGAAATATGGAGTGTCCTCCAAAAATTTGTCGATTGAGGATTGTATGGCGAATCTGCTAGACTGGTATTTTAGCAGTTATTTGCCTATCGGGCTTTATTGGCGACTCTGCTAGAGTTGCTCTAACAGATACAACCTTAGGCACTATGTCTATTTTTTAAAGGAACACAAAGCATTCCATTATATAGAAGGGCTTTACAAATTGCCAGCAACAGCGTCTTTTACAAAGTCTGGAAGCTGGTGAAGCCAGATCTCACACAAGCTAGCTCGCAGTTTAGTGCCACATGCAGCTAACAGATGCGCAACTCCATTACAAGTTTGAGGACAAGACGCCACACATACATCATTGAAACCCACAGGCATCTATACTCTAATATTTTTTTAAATCGCTCCTAAAACTGATAGATCAAAGCCTTCAGTGGTTGCTGCATTCTTCAGTTGCACAGAATCTGTTTCTATCATCACTCGGTCGCAGCCTAGCTGAGTGACTGTGTTTATGACATAAAGCATTGCCAAAGCCTCTGAATGAAGCGCATCCGAGAATCTCTCCAGAATCCAGATTACTCGCACCAGCAGCCAGTGCCACACCACAAGCATCTATACTAACAAAGCCCCAACCTCAAGTATTTGTCTCCTTCAGGAAGGCGCCATCTGCGTTGATTTTCAGAGTTCCCAGTGGAGGTCTGGACCATCTTTCTTTTTGCTGCTGCTTCTGCACTTTCCCACTTTGTTGTACCTTAAAGAGATGCATACAAAGATAATCAATAGAATGACATTTCATCAGAAAATTTAATAGCATCTCCTGCATTTGCCCTATTTCTTTCATGCCACCATTGCCAAAGGAGCAGGCAAGATTTAAGTTTTCCCTCCTCATTGAGGTTCAAGATTTGCTCCATGCAGCTCAGTGCATCTGCAGAAGGAAGAATCTGCAGTCTAACATGCTCCAGCTGAGGTTTCCTCCGCACATCCTTAACCTTCTTACATTTAATGAAACAACGCCTGCCATCCTCATCGAATCAAAAACAAACAGGACAACGGGTTTCTACATGCATGCCTTTGTGCTGAAGCTTCATGCACAGGGGTAAGCTATCCGTACACAGACGCCATATGAAATGAAGAACTTTGTTTCTAAGGGGAAGTGACCACAGCTTCGGCCAGTCGAAACCACATGTTTCTTCATCTGCACTTGAGGAAGAAGTTAGCCCTGCAGTGGGTTCACAAGCTGCAGTAGCCATCGCAACTCTGTATGCAGATTTTACAGAAAATATACCTTTTTTATTTTATCAAAAGGCCATGCTATGATATCATCATTATGTTCATGAATTGTGATTTGCAAAATAATCTTTGCATCTTCAGGGAGGAAGGTTTGCCTTATTAGGTCTGCATCCCAGTTGTTTGTGGCAGGATCAATCAGTCTTTTACTTTAGTTACAACATGTCTGCCCGTTTGAGTGATGACTCTTCTAGTTCTTCCTCTTGGAATCCATGGGTCAGACCAAATATTGGTGTTGGTACCACTGCCAACTCTCCATATGATCCCCTTCTTGAGCAGGTTTACTCCCTCTAGTATACTAGGCCAAGTGTAAGGTGCCATCTGTGGGGTTGGCATGTAGAGTTGACCCATTTGGGTAATACTGTGCTGACAAAACCTGCGCACATAAGGAAGATGAGTTTTGAATAAGCCTCCATGCCTGTCTTGTATGCATAGCTAGATTGAAGGCGTGTAAGTCCCTAAAGCCCAGACCTCCAGTTTTCTTTGTCTTCATCAATATTTCCCAGCTGACCCAGTGTGTTTTATTCTCCTTGTCCATTTGACTCCACCAGTATCTATTGATCATAGTGCTCAGCTCGTCGCACAAGGACTTGGTTAGATCAAAGCAAGCCACGGAGTACACGGGGATTGCTTGTGCAACTGCTTTTACAAGGATTTCTTTCCCTCTTTTTGAAAGGAGTTTTTCCTTCCAGCCTTAGATCTTTTTCCACACACTCTTTAATATACTTAAAGGTCCTTTTCCTGGCCTTGCCCACATAGGATGGAACACCTAGATATTTTGAGGAAAGACCTTCCGAAGTAATCTGTAGAATACTTCTCATTTCCTCCTTTAGCCCTTGCCTTGTGTTTGCGCTGAATAGTGTTGTGGATTTGTCTTTGTTAATCATTTGGCCTGAAGAGGCTTCATAAGTATTCAATATTCTATTTACTTCATGAGCACTCTCAGCATTGGCCTCCATGAGTAGTAAATGACTCATTTACAAAGAGTAACTGACTTACACTGGGAGCTTCTCTACAGATCTTGATTCCCTTTAATGATCCTCTCATCTCAGCTTCATGTAACATGGCTGAGAACCCCTCTGCACAGATAAGAAACAAGTAGAGAGAGGGTCTCCTTGGCGCAGGCCCTTGGGGTGTAATAATTTCAGTTGTATCTTGGTTCACCTTGATTTGGTACCTAACAGTCGAGACGCACTATTATCAGTTTAATCCAGCCCATGTTGAAACCCAGCCTTTGCATCATGACTCTCAAAAATGTTCATTCAACATGGTCGTAGGCTTTGCTCATATCCAATTTAATAGCTGCATAGCCCATCAAGCCCCTTTTTCTCCTCCGCAGGAAGTGAGTTAGCTCATATGCCAATAGAATATTATCCAAGATTAGTCTCCCACGCACAAAGGTACTCTGGTTGGGGGAGGTGATGTCGGGAAGGATTACCTTGCGCCTGTTTGTGATTACCTTGGAGACCAGCTTATACGCCACGTTACACAGGCTTATTGGTCTCAGGTCTATGCTCACTGGGTTGGCATGCTTTGGAATTAGCACTGAGTGTATAGTTCCACCCGTCGCGCATTTCTCCTTCAATATCCGAAGAACCTCTTGTATGACGTGGTTCCCAACAGTTTGCATCCCAGTCTTTCAAATCTCCTGCCACCCTGCATAACATCACCTGAGTATTATGGTCCCCTCGCATGCCAGCGTTGGTCCAAACATTGTTGACCACGATCTCGCAATCTTCTTGCAACAACCTAGCTTCAAACTTGAAACTACGCGCCATTCTCCTGAAAAAATATGATCTCCCAGCTTCCTCTATTTGGATAGTTATAGGCCTATGGTCCGAATGATATGGATCTCTATTAGGACTTAAAGGTTAAGGAATCTTGCACATCAACTCCTCGAGGGCATAGTCTATCCAATCTTTCTTTAACGAACCGGCTAGCATCCCAACTAGAGTTAATTGCATAAAAGTACCACAATTGAGGCTAGCTTAACGGATCAGTACCACTTTTCAATTTTTTTGCAAGTCAGCACTGGTTTTGGGGTGAGGTGTTGCACATACTGGTTTTGATAGTGTTTCTGACGGATGGGGCACACATGAACAACCCGCTGAGTCATACATGGACCCACTTGTCAGTTCCATCTTCTTCCTCGTGTCCTCTCTCTCTCTCTCTCTCTCCCCAGTCCCCCGCCTCTCGAGCTCCTCGCTCCTGCAGCATCCGTTCTCGACGCCAAGCTCCCCGCATAGTCCCGCGCCTCCAGCACGCCACTCACAGCAGTGCAGCGATTCACGTCATGCAGGCCACCATGCCGCTGAGCGGCAAGCGCCCAGGCCTCACGCCAATTGCACGTACGTAGCAAGCTCCGGGTATCCTGATCGATCTGGCTAGCCAGTGGCTACTTAGCACATGGGATGCACGCACCGGCCCAGTACACGACCACAGTGGTTCCGATCCGTTAACCTTTTTTTTTGCGAGGTTCCGATCCGTTAACCTAACCCCAATTGTGGTACTTATATGCAATTAACTCTCCCAACTATGATTACGCCATGTATGTTTATCTCCCACATAGTGAATCTCTCAACCCACAGTGGTCCATCATTATCAAGGAAAAAGCCAGTGACCCATAGAAGTTGTATGTTGCTCATGACAGCTATCTGTGTTCATTTTTTTTTCCTTCATCCTTCATTCGTTCAGTATCATAAATGGGTTGTCGTGTCCTTTTCTTGTTGTTAACACTTCGACACCTAATTATTCATAATTGTGCATTTACATGAATCATGTTGAATTGTTGACACTTAAAATGTTTATATAATACTTGTCCACCCCTTGAAGTTCTTTCTGGGTCAGCCATCCCATAACCGATGTGTGCGGACAGATCAATGCAATGTAAACATACAAGTCATATTCTCTGAATAGATGATTGTATTTTGTTAGCTTATTGTCGACATGTTTCGTTCAGGATTTCTCATATAAGCCTGGGGACTGGCTAGTATTCGGGTCCGAGACAAAAGGGCTACCAGAGTCCGCCCTGGAAGACTGCTCCGGAGAAGCCCTGGGTGGTGGAACCATCCGAATTCCGATGGTGGAAACCTATGTCCGGTGCCTGAACCTCTCGGTGAGTGTTGGAGTAGCGCTGTACGAAGCAGCGAGGCAGCTGAACTACGAGCAGCTCCAGTACCAACCTGATCTCCCAGAGGAAGCGCAAGGACTGTTCCCAGCAGAGGATATCTATGGATGAAAATACTTTACCTGAGAATCAATCGATGAAACTACACATCAAGAGTTTCTTCAGCTGTATGCCCGGTGCCTGGTAATTTTGTTAGCATTTGATCTGGATTTTTTTTTTAATTTTTTTTGCGGGGTCTGGATCTTCTTCTTTTGCTTGCAGTCTCAACCAAAATGTGTACTGGACTTTCCAAAGACCAATTGGATGTATACACTTTGCGGTCAGGAGGTAATTAGACATGACAAGAAACTAGATGGGGGGTCTCTTCTAACCTCCAGTACACTGAGCTGCCTACTTGTCCTAAACCATTAAGGGGTTGTTTAAATTTGCATGACGCTTTATCATCTTGGCGTGGAAGGTTGGTGAAGAACTTTACTGCTATTTAAAACCTCTGTCAGATCACGGGCCAAATAGCGCCCACCCTGAGCAGCTGTCACGTTCAAGTGGTGAATTATTGGATCATCCATCGGTTGGTCTGCAGGATTATAAATGTCAAGGTCATCAGGAGCAGTTCCTCCATGCTCCTGCAGGATTTGATGACTGCGTATCCAGTGCCCTGCATTTAAACCTTTCAAGTTTGAATGTCCTTCATGTGCTGCCACAGTGAAAGGAGAAGAAAAAACTTCTCTCTGGCCTTCATATTTTGTCAGCTTTCCTGGTAAAAATGCATCCGAAAATCAAGAACTCCAAATAGAGATGATTACAGTGCGAGGGTCTAAGCAAAACGTTGACATAACACCAGATTCGATCTAAATCGCAAATGATTATGTTTACATTGGATCCCCGTGCATGATGGCACCAATGATGCACCCATGACCAATCTAGCACTGCGAATGTGCAATGACTACCTCCATTCTTCAGCAAGAATCTCAGGCTGTCATTAAAGTGTAGGGAACCCATTTCACCTCAACAAGAAACCGTACCAGGCGAACCTAGACTAGACACGGGCCACTGAACCTACCCGCGTGTTGCCACTGAACCCAGTCTACTGCGCCATTGCGTGTGGCTGTTTCGCTGTGCATGCACAGCCACAGGCCCACAGCACGGCAGGGCACAGGTAAAAAGACAATGCGCTGACACTGATGGACGCAGCCCCTCCTGTGTCGTTGTCGCATCTTTCAGGGTCAACTGGCCCAAAGGTGTACAGCACCGCATCCAATAATACTAGACATACAGGGTGATTGATACAAAACTTTACAGGAACAGAACGTGGCTAGAACGTGGCTTCATCTAACTGGCGCCCCCCTGATTTTCCCCCTGATTTTCACTGGTGGGCCTGCCCTTCTAATTAGATCTCTGCCAATCACACCCCAACAGCCCCGTAAACCCCCTGTAACTTCCTGTACGTCTAGCATTGCTCGCACCGCAACACGCCTCCCATTCCCCAGGTTCCAAACCCCAAGAAAGCCACCAGCCAATGCTTTTTCTCAGTTCTCACCGCAAAAGAGAAAGTGCAACAATGCTTGCTGCTGCATTCCGAAAACGCTAGCGAAAGGAGGATGCAAATTGTCCAGATCATGATCATCGGTTACATACATACACGGCCGCGAAGATTGCAGCTACAAAAAAAGGAGTACCAAACGCACATCAGCGAACGATTCTTGGCTGGTTTCTTCACCGTCTCTCTAAACCTAATAACGTTGGCAAATGATGCTAATCTGCGGAGCTAAGGATTTCAGGAACTACTGCTGCTGATGGTCGACGAGAATGACGGGTCATGGCTTCCGTTCCCCGGAATGATTGATGATGGATCGCCGGACTAGTTCACCCGGTCGAGGCTCTCGGCGACGGCGCGCATGCGGGGGCGCAGCTCCGGGTCGGGCTCGGTGCAGCCGAGCGCCACGTGGAACACGGCGAGGACCTGCTTCTTGGCGTGCACCTCGCCGAGCAGCGTCGGGTCCACCACCTCCGACAGCGGCCGCTCCTCCTTGAAGGCTCGCCGCACCCACGCCTCCAGCTCCAGCCCGCCCTCCCCCTCCGTCGGCTGCCGCCCGGTCACCGCCTCCAGCAGCAGCACCCCGAACGCGAACACGTCCCCTTTCTGCGTCGCCGCCGCGGCCGTGCCCCCCGGCGCGCGCAGCTCCGGCGCCACGTACGACAGCGCCGACAGGGCGCCGCTGCGGAGCGCGCACGCCGCGCTGCCGAGCTTCCTCGACTGCGCCGTCTTGTGCGCGCCGGCGACGAGGCGAGCGAGGCCGAAGCCGGAGACGTGCGGACGGAGCTCGTCGTCGAGCAGGATCTTGGACGACTTGATGCAGCCGTGCACGTACCGGCGAGGGCTGCACTCGTGCAGGTATGCCAGCCCCCTCGCCGCGCCCTGCACGATGGACAGCCTCACCGACCACGGCAATGGCGTTGGCGAAGCCGTCGGGCCACCTGATTCAAACATGCTATTCAGTGCCACTATCTCTGGATCAAATGCAACCTCTAGTCTAGCAGTTAACAAGACAAGATTTCGGCGGCACATTACCGTGGAGGGCGGAGTGGAGGGAGCCATTGCCGAGGTAGTCGTAGATGAGCAGCTTCTCGTCTGGGGCGTAGTAGTATGCGCGGAGGCGGGCGACGTTGGGATGGCGCGCGCGGCCGATGGCGGCAGCCTCGGCCTCGAAGGCACGGCGCCGGCGCCACCCGGACTCAGTGCCATCGCCGTCGTCGGGCTCGCTGAGACGGCGGACGGCCACGGCGGTGCCGCGGCCGGGGACGACCCTGTACACGATGCCGCCGCGGCTCTTCCCCACGACGTAGGCGGACGCCCGGAGCAGCTCCTCCAGCTCCATCCCGAAACCGTCGTCCACGGCCACGAACAGCTCCCCCTCCTCCCCGCCGCCGCGCCGCTCTTCAGTGCCGGCGAGCGTCACCGCCGCGCTCTTCTCCTTGGTCGACGACTCCTTCTCCTCGTCCCTGGTCGTCGCAGCGCACCGCCTCCGGCACTGCCACTGCAGCACTAGCCCTGCGACGATGGCCGCCACCACAATGACGGCAAGAATCGGCACCGTGGGCGACGACCGACGCTTCGGCGGCCTCCCAACCTGCGCCGCCGCACCAGGGTTCATGCCAGGGTTCGACTGCGGGATTCTTGGCTCATCCCTCTCCCCGGCGCACTCGATCTTGAGCGGGAACCCGCAGAGCCTCGGGTTGTCGTCGAAGGCGGTGGGGCCCTGGTTGACGAGCGAGCCCACCTGCGGGATCTCGCCGGCGAGGTCGTTCCCCCGGAGGTCAAGGCTGACAGCGACGGGAATGCCGCCGAACTCCGGCGGGATCCCGCCGACGAAATGGTTGTAGCTGAGGTTGAGCACGCCGGAGAGACGCGGAAGCCCCGCGATGGACGGCGGGAGCGTCCCGTTGAGCTGGTTGGAGGACAAATCGAGGCGGGACAAGGAGGCGAGCCTCCCAATCCCGGCGGGAATCTGGCCGGACAGGAAGTTGTGCGCCAGGTCTAGGGTGGTGAGCTTCTGCAGCGCGGAGATGGCGACCGGGATCTGGCCGGAGAGGCGGTTGGACGGCAGCGCCAGCGTCTCGAGCTCGGAGAGCAGGGAGAGCTCGGAGGGCAGGTAGCCCGCGAGCGAGAGGTTGGCGAGCTCGACGCCGGCGACCCGGCCCCCGCCGCCGTCGACGCAGGTGACGCCGGCCCAGCCGCAGGGGTCGGGGTCGGCGTCCCTCCAGGTGTCGAGACCGCTGCCAGGGTCATCGGTCACCGCGAACTTGAGCGCGAGAAGCGCCAGGCCGTCCGTGTTCAGCGCGGCCGCCGCCACGGCCACGGCCGCCAGCAGCACCGCCACCGCCGCCGCCCGCACGGCCGCCATTGCGACGGGAGAAAGAACTCGTATCTGCCCCTCGGAATGGCTCGCGCTAGACTACAACAAACAGCCCTGCCATTTCTTGGGAGTACGTGGGGTTGCAGCACGGAAGAGGGGGAGAAGAGGACAGCCGAGGGATTGGGGAACCGGGGAGACTGGGTTTAGGCCGGGGAGTGAGATTTTACTTGCGAAATGACGGAAATACCCACCTGGAGGATGATGTCCCTTCTGTTATTTGGGGCCTACGTGAGGGGCATTTCGGGGATGGAGATTCGAACCGCAGGGCACGGGGAGCTGCGCTGGAGGGGGAGGGGGAGGGGCGAGGTGGGCTTGGCTGGTGGATTCGATCGAAGCTCTGTGCTCGGGGCGACTTTTGCTAAAGGAGTAATTAAGCGTGTTGGCATGTGGGAAATCGCATGGATTAGTAGTTTATAATCCCCAGGGTTAACGTTGATATCATACTCCTACTAGTACTAGTATGCTTGTTCTGCTGGAGTGGTCGGGGTGATTGGCTACTCCTGAGGCTGTGCGCTGGGCCCCTGCTGGGTTCGAGCCTCTTCGTTTGAATTTATGCAGGCGCCGGCACATGGGACTGGGGCTGTGTGTGGGGTCCTGATTGAATTTGATTACTGGTTGATGGTGCCTGCTTACAGTCCCGTAAGGATTAAATAATTGGGGATGTTTCCGATTTTCAAATCTGTCACCAAGGCACTCCGTATTGGCTCTTAGAGCAGTCCAGCCCCTACACGCCCGTGGAATACGACATGTAAATCAAACGATCTTTAGTCCATGCGGTGACTTACAATGGGTATATACAACACAAGTGATCTAGGTCAATTAGAAATTAGTTTTTATCTTTATACTTGAATTTGGATCATAGTATAACATACCGGTCAGCCTCAAATGAACACATTTATAACCATAATTCTTACTTTTAAAACATTAAATACATACAAACACATGCACGTCAATCATCAATGTTAGTGCACACAAATACAAATTATTCACACTTAACAATACATAACAAAACCATAGGCCGAACATAAATATTGTCCATAGTGCATAACCAAAAATTAAAAACAAAGTTTAGTGAATTTCAGCCTGAACTACATATACTCCACAAGATCATTGAGAGGTCGCGTATGCACCCGTTAATCTTATAGTTGTCGGTGCATCTTCAGAAAGTTCGTAACTATGCTCGGCCTCTTGTTCCGG